TACCGATATATCGGCGACAGGCTCATATCGGCCGATAATATCGGTCGGGCTCTACTGTCTATGCAGGGTCAGAAAGCTCTCGGATTTCATCAAAAATATCTTCATTTGTGTTCTGAAGATGAATGAAGGTCTTGCGGGTTTGGAACAGGTTTCATATACATTTTTATTTTTATGTAATTAATTTAATATTAATTTAATTAATATTCTACTAAAATAATTGATTAATATTGTGATTCATCTCTGAACTGGTTGGTTGTTAAAATCCCTATACACAGAATAGAATAAATACTTGAAGAAACAAGACAACTGAAATAATGTGTGGTCACTATTGTGATCTATATCTGGTTGATGCTGATAATCCTAAAGGCTGATATATTGGACTATCACTGTTAGCTTCTTTACCTGCATTTTGCCTGCTTCCTGAATTTGCACTTAGCTGTGCAGCAGGGGTCATCATTGAGATGAAGGAGTCCAGGGTCACAGTCTTCATCCTCCTCCACACGGGAGTTCCCGCACAGCTTACTGCTCCTCTCCTTGAAGCACTGATGGGCCTTGACCTTTAACGTCCTACTGACAGAGAACTTGCTACAGTTGGAGAAGCGCTGAGGGAAAAAATATAACAGGTGTGTAAGTTAAGTAACTATATGTAAAGGAGAAAAAAATCAGTACAGGATGGATAATACCTTGTTGTTCACGTGATCTCCGCTGACCGCAATAGGGTACATAACATATTTGCCGCCCTGGTCATCACTGGGCGCACAGGGAACTATATTGTCTGGATCGTGTTCTGCTCCAAAGTTGTGCCCGAGCTCATGAGTTGTTACAAGATCTGCTTCCTGGGGAGACAAAACATCAGGTTGCTGCCTGCTACAAAACATCTAGCATACAAGATGCAAGTAGTATTTAAAGCAAACCTTAGTCAGAATAGTTTTCCCATAATTCATGGTGCTTGTCAAGCCTGTGTTTAGGTAGCTGGGTTTCCTGACGGTTTGTGATGGATAGTAGGCTGTAAGACAAAAAGAATGTGCAAGGTCAAGCAATTTTGACGAGTGGAATTCTACTGATCACAGTTAAAGAGATTCTTACGCTTAGGGCAGAGTCCTCCCAGTCCCTGTTTGGAAGGGGCCACGTATGCCAGACCCAGAGTGCCATCATCAAAGTCCTGATAGGTGAAGAGATGGGCAAGGCAAACAGCAGAGGCGTTGTCTGCGATGTCGTAACTGAATTGCTAAAGAGAAGAGAGATAAAGATGAGAAAGTGAGGGTCTACAAATTTGTGATTCAGGGCTCCTGATTAAAATTCTGACTCGTAAAAAACGGGCTCTTAAAAATTAAGCATTTAAAAGCTAAATTATGGACAAATTAGCTGACAATTTACAGAAATGGTAAAAGAAATTTGGTTTATTGAGTGCATAGCTTATTTACAGTGGGTATAGAAAAGAATAACCCCCTTTAAAATGATCACAGTTTGTTGCTTTGCAGCCTGAAATGAAGACGGACACAGCTTTTGTTTTATCCAGCTGTATTTACTCAGTGCAACTTATAACATCCAAGTGAAAGATAACACCAACATGTCAGAAAACTAAAAAAAAACTAAAAAAACTGAATCACTGAGTTTCCCCATTTAGAGTCTCTGCATTATCCTGTCTTCACGTACTTTTGTCTCACATGGACAACCAGCCTTTTTGAGGGACTTGAATGAATTAGTATCATTGTAAAGCTGCAATATTCAAGAAATCACATGTTTTGGAATGACCAGCTCCTCTTGAAATGGCTGAAAGGGTGATCCTTTAGCCTTCATCTGGACCGCCTCCTGTTGCAGGCTTTCAGTCACCTTAGAGCGGCCCACCATCTTGCAATCTCAGTGAAAATTAGAGGAATGCTGCCAATTAAATAGGGTTTGTCATATAATTAAGGAAATTAGCACTAGGTGTCAGTAACACCAATGACTTGTAGGTAGACTTGTGCCGGTATTCGGTAATGCGATATATCTAATCTGTGTAAAACTTTTAACTTTGTACATTTTTCTGTATTGCTTTATTGCATTTAAATGTTCAGTTATTTTTGTTATAAGAAAAATGTTATTAAACCTGTTATACTGTATTATGACAGCACTTTTTTTCAAACTAAATTTCAACACCGTGATAATACCGTATACCGTGATAAAAGCATTAGCAATTAATCGCAACATGAAAATTTGATACCGGCATATCCCTACTTATAGGTATCTGTAAGTGTTCTCTAATTTTGATAAGAGTTCTTTTTCAAATATCTAATTGAAGTTTTTTTTATACTGTGCTTCAGAATACAATTAATTTATGAAATATGCATAAAAACTGCCCTTTTACTCCTGTTAGGATAACTTCAAATAGGACTAAGCAGTGACCTTAAAATGTAGGAAATTGTAGGTTGTTCTCTAATTTTGATCTCCACTGTATGTGTGTGTATTTATACATATAAATACAATTATTTTAGACACAGTCTGGAGCCAATAACATCTGACCTGAATACAAAGCTCATAAACTTTACTTTTATTGGACTGTTGTTGTGGATTTATCATAACATTTGAACCTGTGTATACTGTACTTGTAGAGGACATGGCACTTACTTCCAAGAGCTTCTTCACATCCCACACACCATCCTTTCTTCCTAATGGGCTGCCGTCCATGTTGTAGTGAATCTCTTCAGGGGCAACTTTTGTGGGCTCCTTGTTTATGATTATCTGTGGGCATATTTACAACTTAGATGGCAATATAACACCCACAGATCAAAAACTTGGACTTGGACTCTTGAAAAAAGCAACAACAACAAAAAATCCTTATAAAAAGGCAAAGCACTGAGCACATGAACACTGTAACAAGATGGAAAAAGCATGAAATAGATTTAGTCAAAGTGTCAGTTAGAGGAAAGCTACTTCTGAGAAAAAGCCCAACATTAGGTTACACCTGGAGTTTGCTACAAGCCACGTGACAAATTCTGGAAACTTTTGTGGTCTGTTGAAACTAACATTAAGCTCTTTGTATTGGAGTTAAGCTGCTATGATCTGTTTCACTTCAGAGTCATCCGTTCTACCAGTGATCGGAAGTGAAAAAAGCAGGGTTGTTTCTGGACAATCCTTTAAACCCATATGACTTTTTTCTGTGGAACAAAAAAAGGAGGTGTTTTGAATAATGTTCTGGTTGTACTGTCCCATACAGTTGCAATGAATGGACAGTGGGGCTTTCAAGCTTTAAGAAGGATGCAAAAGCAAGTATCATAAAAGTGGTTCATATGACTTGTGTGCTGTATTGCAACTCGTCTGAAGCCATATGAGAGCTTTGTGTGAGGAACAGAAGTCATACAAATACAAAGTTCTGTCATAATTCAAGTCATTATTCACTGATAACCTTCAACTTAGTGAGTTGTTAACTCAAGAAATGCTCATCATCAGTTAATGAGTTTTAATCAAGAACTGTATCACTGATTTTTCAATGAATAATTCTGAGTGGTTTAATGAACCATTTTAGCGATTCAATTTCACAAATCAGACATTATTACTTCTCTCACGAATGTTCCATTGATAGTTTGAAAGGATATCAAGATTTTCAGTGAATAATAACTCAAAAAAAATCATAATATAGTACAGTTGTATAGAACAGTTTTAATATGTTTTTGTAGAGCCTTTGCACCATTTTTCACACTGTAAATCATCGACAATCCCTTTAACAAATAAGGACAGAAACTAGAGGGTTATCACACTTGAAATAGTTAACCCTGGATCATTCCCAGGTAAATGGAATCCTGGGTTATTTTGTTTCACATTTATAGCACTTGTATTATTGCAGACTGAACTATCAAGTTTTGCCTGAATGGACTTTGTCTACAAAGGTAAGAATAAAACAGTCTCTTCTTCACTCCAGTTAACATGTTTTGTCACCACTTGACGTTTTTCCCTTGAAACTCTGAAACGACTGTTTATACAATGTGCTATGCTTTCATGACTGTCAAAAGCATGTGAATATGAGGCATGTGATTGCATGTCTGTCTACTTATAGCATTCTAACACCGCTTCGTTTAACACTATACATGTTTGGCACCGCAATGCTCCAGAGCGTGGTTTCATAACCCTGGGGTAAAAAACAGTGCTCACCCTGCTTCTAAATTACATGTGTGAAAAGTACCGTTATCCAGAGTTAAAAGCTGGATTTAGAATGACGATAACCCAGGGTTAACCGTAGTTTGAAAAGCTCTTAGGAAAATAAAACTCATCTACTGAAGTAAGAAAAGAACCGAGGAGGATGATCCTTCCATATATGAATGATTAAGAGTTATTGAGGTCACCTGCTGAATCTGCACACCGTAGCCTTTAAAATCACCATCCCAGGATGTGTTTCTGTATATATCATCCACTCTGTCGATCAGCTCAATCTGAAAGACACAAAACACACAAATTCAATGCATTTTTAATTTGATATCATGGTGTTTATATGGACCTTACCCTTACACTGCTCTGTTGTATAGCACAACCACAAAATTTTATGTGTTCTAATTTAAATTGTAAATTTAATGTGTTCCAGTTGCATTGCATACCAAGTAGTTGAGGGTGGTGCTCTCCTCTCCACGGCCCATGTGCTTGTAGAAGCGATGATCTGCCACTAAAAGCAGCGGGCAGGTGTTCTTCTTGTGGTCATGTGCAGATCTTCTCTCTATGTTGTGAGGCTCTGTATTTAAGAAATAAAAGCATCTAAACATGCTGCACTATAAAATTAAAACAGAATAATTATTTCTAATTACTCAGTTCCAAAGCATCAATGTCCATAAACAGATCTACACAATTTAAAGCAACACAATGGGGGACTTCCATGACTATTATAATGGAGGACAAAGAATGGAGTTAATGAATTGAATTATTATGCTTTGTCTCCAGACTATGTTCAGTTCGCATAGCAGGAGGTTATTGCCGTGTGACCACATACTTGAATGGGCGGCCTTTGTCAGACTGATGTAACTCCTACACACAGACTCATGGAGTAACCATCTCGCTCATCATGAGCATGTGATGAAAGCTGAATATCTATTTTCTGTTTAGGTTGCTATCATGATTAAATGTGTCTGTCTCGAAATGGCTGAAAAACAAAACAACATGTGACAACTACACTTCCATTCAAAAGTTTAATGTTGGCTAGTTTTTTTTTTTTATTAGGCTGCATTTATTTGATAAATAATATAGTAGAACAGTAACATTGTGAATTATTATTAAAATTTAAAATAACTGTTTCTATTTGAATAAATAAAAAAATTTAATTTATTTGTGTGATGGCAAAGCTGAATTTTCAGCAGGCATTACTCCAGTCTTCAGTGTCACAGGATCCTTCAGAAATTATTATTAACATGGTGCTTTGGTGCTCACAACATTTCTTCTTATTATCAATGTTGAAATCAGTTTTGTATTAATATTAATGCTTAATATTTTTGTGGAAACTGTGATACATTGTTTTTTCAGGATTCAATCAATAGAAAGTAAAAACAACAACAACAACGCATTTATTTGAATTTTTTCTAATGATGGGTTAACCGTAGTTTGAAAAGCTCTTAGGAAAATAAAACTCATCTACTGAAGTAAGAAAAGAACCGAGGAGGATGATCCTTCCATATATGAATGATTAAGAGTTATTGAGGTCACCTGCTGAATCTGCACACCGTAGCCTTTAAAATCACCATCCCAGGATGTGTTTCTGTATATATCATCCACTCTGTCGATCAGCTCAATCTGAAAGACACAAAACACACAAATTCAATGCATTTTTAATTTGATATCATGGTGTTTATATGGACCTTACCCGTACACTGCTCTGTTGTATAGCACAACCACAAAATTTTATGTGTTCTAATTTAAATTGTAAATTTAATGTGTTCCAGTTGCATTGCATACCAAGTAGTTGAGGGTGGTGCTCTCCTCTCCACGGCCCATGTGCTTGTAGAAGCGATGATCTGCCACTAAAAGCAGCGGGCAGGTGTTCTTCTTGTGGTCATGTGCAGATCTTCTCTCTATGTTGTGAGGCTCTGTATTTAAGAAATAAAAGCATCTAAACATGCTGCACTATAAAATTAAAACAGAATAATTATTTCTAATTACTCAGTTCCAAAGCATCAATGTCCATAAACAGATCTACACAATTTAAAGCAACACAATGGGGGACTTCCATGACTATTATAATGGAGGACAAAGAATGGAGTTAATGAATTGAATTATTATGCTTTGTCTCCAGACTATGTTCAGTTCGCATAGCAGGAGGTTATTGCCGTGTGACCACATACTTGAATGGGCGGCCTTTGTCAGACTGATGTAACTCCTACACACAGACTCATGGAGTAACCATCTCGCTCATCATGAGCATGTGATGAAAGCTGAATATCTATTTTCTGTTTAGGTTGCTATCATGATTAAATGTGTCTGTCTCGAAATGGCTGAAAAACAAAACAACATGTGACAACTACACTTCCATTCAAAAGTTTAATGTTGGCTAGTTTTTTTTTTTTTATTAGGCTGCATTTATTTGATAAATAATATAGTAGAACAGTAACATTGTGAATTATTATTAAAATTTAAAATAACTGTTTCTATTTGAATAAATAAAAAAAATTAATTTATTTGTGTGATGGCAAAGCTGAATTTTCAGCAGGCATTACTCCAGTCTTCAGTGTCACAGGATCCTTCAGAAATTATTATTAACATGGTGCTTTGGTGCTCACAACATTTCTTCTTATTATCAATGTTGAAATCAGTTTTGTATTAATATTAATGCTTAATATTTTTGTGGAAACTGTGATACATTGTTTTTTCAGGATTCAATCAATAGAAAGTAAAAACAACAACAACAACGCATTTATTTGAATTTTTTCTAATGATGTAAAAGTTTTACTTTCATTTTTTTTAATCAATTTAATGTTCCTCACTGAATAAAAGTAATTATTTCTTTTAAAAAAACATTAAAAAAAATCTTATGAACCCCAAACTTTTGAAATGCTAAATAACTTCTCATAGCGAAACAAAATATTTAGGAACTAAATGTAGGCAGGGCTAGAATTTTCATAAGGATTTAGTAAGAGTGCAGCGCTTCTCAAACTAGATTCCATACGGTCCGAGAGTTCATTTGGTGGTTTTAAAAAAAGAATATAATTGTATATAACGTAAGTTATAAGTTATGTCCATAATTATGGATCTATGAGACCTCACTCAGACCATCGCCACGGTCTTATCTAGGGCTGGGTATCGATACGATTAATCGAAAAATCTTTTTTTTTGCCGAGCCCTAGTCTTATCCTGAATGGTGCCATTCTTCCGCCTATCCTCTAAACCAGTGATGGGCAAACTTGGCCCTTCCAGGCCACTTTCCTGCAGAGATGTGGTCCAACCCTGATAAAACTCACCTGCCTGTAGCTTTCTAATAGTCTTGAAGACAATGATTAGCTGGTTCAGGTGTGTTTGATTAGAGTTGGAGCTAAA